AAAAAGCTTTTTATTTTTAATCCATCCCATTTATTGATTCTTGATTTTATTTCTTGTGCTTTAGGAGTCTTGTTAAGGAAGTTTGGGCCTAATCCAATATAATGAAGATTTGGGCCTGCTTTTTCTTCTATTAGGCATAAGATCTCTGGTCTAATTCTTTTTTTTTTTTAATATTTTTTTTTAGTTGTAGATGGACTCAATACATTTATTTATTTATTTTTAAAAGTCATGATAATCCAGGCACGATGGCCCACACCTGTAATCCCAGTAGTTTGGGAGACTGAGTGAGTTCAGAGGCAGCCTCAACAAAAATGAGGTGCTAAGCAACTGTCTCTAAATAAAATACAAAATAGGGCTGGGGATGTGGCTCAGTGTTTGAGTGCCAGAGTTCAATCCCTGGTATCAAAAAAAGAAAATAGTCATGCTAAAATATTTATATTATATATCAGGCATGGTGATGCAGGCCTATAATCCCACCAACTCTGGAGACAGAGGCCAGCCTCAGCACCTTAGTAAGACCCTGTCTCAAAACTGAAAGGACTGGGAATGCAGCTCAATGGTAGAAAGTTCCCAGGTTCAATTCTCAGTACCACTGGCGCGCGCGCGCGCGCACGCACACACACACACACACACACACACACACACACACACACAGAATTATTTTTAGGTGTATAGTTCAGTGGCATTAAGTACATTCACAATGTCATGCAACTGTCACCACTGTCCAACTCTAGAACTTTTACATTCTCCCAAAGAGAAACTCTGTACCTATTAAATAACTTACCATTTCCCCTCTGAACACTATTTTTTCTTCTGTATCAATTTGACTATTCTAAGTGCTTCATATAAGTGGAATCATGCATTATTATTTTTGTCTTTTTGTGTTATTTACTTAGCATAATGTTTTCAAGGTTCATCCAGTTGGAGGGTGTCAGAATAATTCTCAGGCTGAGTAGTACCCCTCACATTTTTTTTATCCATTCATCTGTCCATGAGACTGTTCCTACATTTTTACTATCTTGGTATCTTTTGACGTTTCTCTCTTCACCAGATGTGGTAGTCCCGGGCCCTGGAGTCCAGCATCATTTTGATCCCCACTCCCACTCTTATCCCAAGATGTTTACTTGTTCGAGTTTCCCATGTTACCCTCCCTAGGTAGAGCTGATTCTTGTTATTCATGGTAGTTATGGCCTATAAAGTTGATGTGGACACTGAGTTAGCAAATATTGCACCTTGGCTCCTAGTAGAAGTTAGGGTTAGGTTCCCATAAATCTCTGGTCTCAAGATTCTTGTCAACTGATTAATTTATAAACTTTTTATATGCTTCTGTTTTAAGACACCTTATTTAATATATATTGTTGATTACAAACCCCACTATTATGTATAATTATAATGCACCAATAAAAAAAAGAAGCAAGGAGCCCAGCACCGTGGCACATGCCTATAATCTCAGCTACTCGTGAGGGTAAGGCCGAGGTAGGAGAATCGCTTGGGCAACTTACTGAGACCTTGTCTTAAATTAAAGCAAAAGGGCTGGGAATGTAGCTCAGTGGCAAAACACCCCTGGTTTTAATCCTCAGCACTGCCCCCCCCAAATCTAACTGTGATGAATTTATTATGTTATAGTCATTATGCATTATAAATTTTAGTCAAATGCTATCTTATGGAATAAATAGTCATTTTTTACTAAATGTCGAGGGGAAATGAAGCTTAAAAAATGTGTGCCCAGGGTCCATTTTGAAGAGTGAAATCAACCACAAGGGGACTGGGGTTGTGGCTCAGTGGTAGAGAGCTTGCTGGGCACATGTAAGGCACTGGGTTCAATTCCTCAGCACCACATAAAAATAAGTAAAGCAATTTAGTAAAATAAAAGTTTTTTTTTTTTTAGAGAGAGAGAGAATTTTATTTATTTTTTAGTTTTTTCAGCGGACACAACATCTTTGTTTGTATGTGGTGCTGAGGATTGAACCCGGGCCGCACGCATGCCAGGCGAGCGTGGTACCGCTTGAGCCACATCCCCAGCCCAAATAAAAGTATCTTTGATTTAAAAAAAAAAAAAATTAACCAAAAAGCCTACAAGGTTGAAAAACACAGCAGACAATAGACCACTTTATTTATTTATTTATTTAAAACATATATATTTTTAAAGTTTTTTTTAGTTATAGATGGTCACAATATCTATTTTGTTTATTTATTTTTATGTTTTATGCTGAGGATTTTTATTTTTATTTTTATGCTGAGGATCGAACCCAGTGCCTTACATGTGCAAGCCACTAAGCCACAACCACAGCCCAACAGAGCACTTTGAAAAGGACAGTTGGATATAGTATAGGAACTGAGACAAGAAGGCAGAATGCAGCCTTATTTAACCTCAGCCTGGAGGCAGCTTGGCATGTAGACTGCTTGGCGCATGCTGCATCTGAGTGACCACTGAGGCAGGAGTAGTGTTGGCCCTCTCTGTGCACAGGTTCCACACCTGTGGGTTCAATCAGCCCCAAATCAAAAATATGGAGGGCAAGATTATCTGTACTGAGCATATGCAGACACTCCCCCTTATCTGTGATACAGTATAACAGCTGTTTACATAGACTTACATTGTGTTATCTCAGGTCCTCTAGAGATGACTTAAGTATCTAGGAGAATGTACTAGGTTATAGGCAAATAAATACTCTGCCATTTTATAGAAGGGCCTTGAGTGTCATGCGTTTGGGTAAACTCTGGGGTCTTACATACTGAAAAGACTGTATTTATTGATTGGGGGTTTTTTTGAGACAGGGTCTCCCTAAGTTGCTTAGGGACTCCCCAGGTTACTGAGGCTGGCTTTGAACTTGAAATCCTCCTGCCTCAGCCTCCTGAGCCGCTAGGATTATAGGCATGCATCACAGTGCCAGATGAATATATGTATAAATATATATTACACACACACACACACACACACACACACACACACATACACATATATATATATATATTTTTTTTTTTTGTATGAGGGATTGAACTCAGGGCCTCAACCACTGAGCCACATCTCCAGCCCTATGTTGTATTTTATTTAGAGACAGGGTCTCACTGAGTTGCTAAGCATCTCGTTGTTGCTGAAGCTGCTTTGAACTCACGATCCTCCTGCCTCAGCCTCCCAAGCCTCTGGGATTACAGGCATGTGCCACTGTGCCTGGCAGCTGTATTGATTTTGATGTTACAGATTTTCACAAGTAAAATTTGCAAATATGGAACTTCAGAAGATTCTGTGATTAGTGAGCATTGGCTGCACTTGATCTTCCTGGTTACTCTGAACTCCTTCACCCTGGACAGAAGAAGGGCATTGAGGCTAGGCACAGGGACACATGCCTGTGAGCCCTAGCCACTCGGGAAGTTGAGACCAGCCTGGGCAACACAGACCCTGTCCCCAAAATAAAACATGAAGAAGGACACTGAGGGCAGAGTCACGTCTCTCTTGACCGTGTACCCAATACCTGGCAGAAATGTTTATACCCAGTTCTGAATGATGGGTCCGAAGACAGAACGTTGAAGTCCTCCGGGTGAGGTGTTTAAGAAGGGGTTTCTTGGGCTGGGGAAGCTGCTCCCCTCCTCCCTGGATCAGTCCTCTCTTCCCTCATTGAGAAGCATCCACTTGATGTCACAGTGGTTATAATTGTGAAGCAGAAAAAGTGCAGGGAGATTATTTCCAGTTCCACTTTCAACTAGTCTGGTGGTCTTTTTGCTTGTCCCTTTCCCTCTTGGAGCCTTCGTCTCCTCGCCTGTAACTTGGATGCTAACTCCAGGTCTCTGAAGTTCTTTCCCTACACAAGCAGGGGCAATCCTGCATCTTCCTTTGCCAGAGGCCGGGGAAGCATTGGGGTTCTTGCCGAGGAACAGGCTAGGAAGGAAGGCTTTCATGCACACAGGAACTTCTCTAACTCCCCTTAACCAGTCAGTCCAAGGTCTGGTACCCTTCCCTGTTACTCTTCACATCTAACTTGCATACCTCATGCTGCAGAGTCAGACCATTTCCCTTTCCAGTTGTCTATAAAGATGTTGGCAAAGTAGGTAAAAGATGCAAAGTGGTGGGCAAGAGAAAGCTTGCTGGGGACAGGCTGCAGATCCAGCCCCTGAGCCTTGCCACCTACTAGCTTTGGCATTTGGGCAAAGCATTTTAGCTCAAGGAGCCTCAGCATTTCTTTGGTGAGATGGGATGTACCAGCTACTTTAAGGGATGTGGGAGGAGTAGAGAAGTAGTCAAGTGCCCAGCCCGGTGCCTGGCACAGAGGGAGCACCCAAACCTGTACCTCCTAGTGTCAACACTCTAGTAGTTCTTGTTTTTGCATGATCGGGGATTGAACCCAAGGGTGCTTCACCACTGAGCCACCTCCCCAGCCCTATTTTGTATTTTATTTAGAGACAGGTCTCACTGAGTTGGTTGGGGCCTTGCTAAGTTGCTGAGATTGGCTTTGAACTCACTATCCTCCTGCCTCACCCTCCCAAGCTGCTAGGATTACAGGCATGCACCACTGCACCTGGCTTGCAACAGGATACTCTCATGGTGTGGGACAGTGTCAGTGAGCTGCTGCTCCACTCGGGCACATGGTCACAAGGGTGAACAACACATACCGTATACTGTACTATGTTGCCAGCATATTTTTTGGATACAGGTGTTCCATAAATTTACTGAGATAATTAACACTTTATTATACAGAAACTTTGCATTAGATGGTTTTGCCCAGCCATCAATTGACGTTGAGTATTCTGAGCATATTTGGGGTGGGTGAGGCTATGTTAAGGTGTTAGGTAGGTTACGTGTGTTGAGTGCTTTATCTATCTATCTATCTATCTATCTATCTATCTATCTATCTATCTATCTATCTATCTATGGTGGTATTAGGGATTGAATCCAGCGTGCTCTGCCACTGAGCTACACCCCTATCCCCTTTTATTTTATATTTATTTATTTATGCACATCACCCAATTTTATTCCCTAGCCCTTTTTATTTTTTATTTTGAGACAGGGTCTCATGAAGTTGCCAAGGCTGGCCTCCAACTGGCGATCCTTCTGCCTCAGCCTCTGAAGCATCTGGGATTACAGGCAAACACAGGTGAGATCTCTTCACAAGACTGATACTGTGAGTTGCAGTCTCTAGTGGCTCAGGGTGGGACTTAGAGATCACTTATGGTCCTGGGTGGCTGTTACAAGGTAAGTGCATGAGCTGGACCCTGCAGGGAGAGGACTTCAGGTCTGAGGTCTGTTTTGTTTGTTTGGTTGGTTGTTTTATAGTGCTGCGAATGGAACCCCGGGGGGCTCTCTCTTGCCAGGCGAAGGCTCAACTACATCCTCAACTCCTTGATGTCTGCTGTGGCCACTTTCTCGCGGCTTTCTCTGCCCACCCCTGGGCTTTAGCTTCTTTGTGTATGTCCTGGGGATCGTGATTCCTTTGCTGTCTTGAAAGCATTTCTGGAAGAGCATATTCTGATTCTTAGGGAGATTATAATGAAAGTCCATTCGTTCCAGCATCCATGGGCTCTGGGATGGAGCAGCATGTTGTCTGGGCCTGGGTTGCCCGGCAGGCCATCTGGTGGCTTTTGGGTGGGGCTAGGGGCAGAACTGGAGGCCTCTAGACCGGTCTCTGAGAGCCAAGTCGGGATTATTTTTACTCCTCTGTTTGTGGCACATGGCCTGGGCTCAGCGATGCCATCTGTTCTCCCCCTCTCTAGCTCACCCCGGCAGGCCCTTGAGGGGCACTGGAGTGTTTGGGGGAGGGGAAGGAGTGGGATCCTCTCTGGCTGGTGTTGGCTTGCCCCGGTTATACTGGCCACAGGGCAGGGCTACGTGGGAGGTTTGCCTGGTGAAGAAGCAGCTGCCAACCTGGGCTGTGGGCTCTGAGGGTGGGACAGGCCAGCCAGTCATGGAGGTGGACCAGGAGTGGCAGGGCCTTACAGGGCCAGGAGCGACTCCATTTCAGTCATGAATCCTGTGGCTCAGGGCCTTGGGTGACTTGCTGCCCTGCTTTCCCTGGGACAGGCCCAATCTTGGGGACACAGGTCCTCAGAAAACCTCCCTTGTGGGGCAGACTCAGGCATGAGCAGCCTCTGGTTTCCCCAGGTCTGCTGCTCCACAGGGCCCATCTTCTGGGGTGAAGAAAAGGATTCTGAGAAGGTACAGGTCCCAGAAACCACAGCCGCGGCTCTCAAAGGATATCGCGTTGGATCAGAGCCTGGGCTACCCTTCCTTCCATCTCTGCTGATATCCGGCCACGCAGCACCCTCACCCAGCTCAGAGTCCACATCTGTGCCATGTCAGGCTCCAGAAGAAAACCCAGGCCAAAGCCAGGACTAATGAGGACTTAGGTATTGATAGTATGGATTAATTAATATTGGGTCTTCATCTTAGGTGATAGGGGTTTAAGGGATCTTTCTGCTTAGGCTTTAGATGTGCCACTTGACATATTATATGTACTTTAATAATAATGTGATGACAGTAAACAACCCTCAGCTTTGACTCATATTAAGCCCTGTCTGTACTAGACATCTCACCTCATTGACCATCATCTCTCCATGGTGGATCAGTTTCCCCAGACTCCTGGGAAAAGCCACCTGTGAATATCTGGAAGGTATGTTCAGAGACGCCAAGGAGTGGGGGGTTGGTGTGGGTGGGTGTGCAAGGCACTCATGGCCTGCCCAGGGAGGAACTTAGACCCAGTTTTACAGATGAGCAGGCCGAGGCCAGAGAGATGAAGTGATTTGCCCACTGTTTGCTGTAGAACTGGAACCAACACCAGCCCCCAGCCCCTTGGTTCTCAGTCATCACACTTCCATTTTGTAAGTCTCCAAAATAAATCCCCAAAGAATTTACATATAAAAATCTCGGATGTGCCCAAATCTAGATATTTGCTGAGGTTTTTTTTTTTTTTTTTTTTTTTGGTACTGGGGTTTGAACTCAGGGGCACTCAACAACTGAGCCACATCCCTAGCCCTATTTTGTATTTATTTAGAGACAGGGTCTTGCTGAATTACTTAGCATGTCACAATTGCTGAGGCTGACTTTGAACTTGCGATCCTCCTGTCTCAGCCTCCTAAGCCACAGGGGTTGTAGGCTGTGCTACTGCATCCAGTGAGAAATTTTTGTTTCTTAAACTAAGCAGAGTGGATCCTTCTCCCTGCAGATAAATCATTCTACAAAGAGCCCTTAGCAAACATCCATTCATTTGTTCATTCTTTACTCACCAGCACCATGTGGTGTGCCAAGGACTTAGTGGGATGAAGACTGATCCCTGTCCTGGTGTTAAAATATGGTGAAAAGGAGACCAATAATTACTGGGAGGTGGGAACTCATGTCTGGAAGATGGGGCTGTTGAAAGTTTGGAGAGGGCACCTAATCCATGGGGCTGGGGTCCTCTGACTCTGTAGTGCTTTGGCTGGAACTTAAGGATGAGAAGCAGTTGGTTAGGTGAAGAGGAATGGGGAGGAAAGTCACAGGCAGCACACCCATCAGGAATAGAAAAAGAACAGCCAGGTGTAGTGGTGCTTGCCTGCAGTCCCAGCTACTCCATAGGCCAAAGCAGGAATCCCAAGTTTCTCAACCTGGGTAATTTAGTGAGACCCTGTCTCAAAATAATTTTTTAAAAAAGGGCTGGGGATGTAGCTCTAGAGCACTTGCCTAGTGTGTTTCATCCCTAGCACCCATCACAAAAACGGGGCAAAAGTGAAGAATTGTTGAGCATGTTAGGGGTGACTTGGATGGTGGAGTTTGGGGCTTTTAAATGGGTGCAGAGGGAGTACAGTGTCCAACAGGTGGGTGGAAGGTTTGGTGGGAGAGCAATTATCATCTGATGAAGGGTGCTCCTGCTCTTGCAGTTATTCTATTGCCGAATGTAATTTGTAAAGTATGTCTTAGGAAAGACTTTTTTCAAAGTAGTCCTAACATGGTCTGCCATCTGATTTGCAAGAGTAATTGTAGAAGATATTTAAAATAATAATAATTATTAATACAGCTGCATTAAAAAAAGGGGGAAAATCCCATCAAGAGGTGTGTGGTTATCTTAGAAAAGCCACCAAAAGAATTTAGTAAGTGGATGAATCACGTGATGACTGCTGTGACTGCGGTGGAAAGATGATGTAGTCTGAAGGGGTTTGCTGTAGGCAACCAGGTGTGCATTGATGGAAGCTTGCATTTGGGCTGTTGCATAGAGAAGTAGGTAAATTAAGACACAGAAAGACAGGATGCCGTCATGGATAAATGGATATGGGAAAGAAGATCCAAATAGGCTTCTAGATTTCAGGCCTTTTTGGGTGGGTTGTGGTTCATCTCTTGAGACAGAGGAGAGGCGCATGAAGAGAATTCAGGGGAAAGCTGAAAATCTGGTTTTTGAACATAGTGAGCTTGAGGAGCTTTGGGGATAATCTGATTAGAGATGCTTGGTGAGCAGTTGCTACATAGGCCTACACCCTCCAGGCAAGATAGGCAGATTTGGTAATCAGAAATGCATGGTTGTGTTGGGCATGGTGCTTAGACCTCAGCCCCAGCAACTTGGGTGGCTGAGGCAGAAAGATCTCTTGAGCCCAGGAGTTTAGGGCCAGCTTGAGCAACACAGCGAGACCCCATCTTAGAAACCCAAACCAAAAACAAGTACAGGAGAAGTGGAAGCCCTAGATGGACATCCCCCAGGGAGTCTGTGTAAAGTTAAAAAGGAGTGGTCAGGCCAGAACCCCAGGGATGATATTTAAGGAATGAGTCTTGCCAAATAGAAAGCCCAGGGGAAGAAAGAGAGAGTGAGCCGGTGACAGACAACCGGAGAATCATCTCAATAGCTCTTCCATATACCGTGAGAATGTTACATTTTGTGGAAAAATTGTGGGGATTTTATTACAATTTCATTGAATTTATGGTTTTTTGAGGAGTTTAGCATCTTTATTTATTATATTGTTTTCCATCCATGAACACAGTTTCTTCCCTTTATTTATTTAGATAATTTTTTTTCTCTGTAAAAGGTCTCACCTTTTGTTATATCACTGGATACCTTGTGGCTTTGTTTTCTAAGTGGAACAATTTTTTTTAAATTATGTTTTCTCTTTTTTTTTTTTTTTGTACTGGGGATTGAACTCAGGATCACTCAACCACTGCGCCCCAGCCCTATTTTGTATTTCATTTAGAGACAGGGTCTCAGTAGTTGCTAAGCCTCTTGCCATTGCTAAGGCTGGCTTTGAAGTCACAGTCCTCCTGCCTCAGCCTCCTGAGCCACTGGGATTACAGACATAGTGCACCACCATACCTGGCTGCATTCTTGATCTTGTTAACCTTAAAGGAAGTATTTCTAGTGTTTCTTCATATCCCACCCCCATCACCCCACCCCATACTTGGAATTGAACCCAGGGGTGCTTAACTACTGAGCCACATCCCCAGCCTGTTTTTATATTTTATTTAGAGACGGGTCTCACTGCATTGCTCAGTGCTTCGCTAAGTTGCTGAGGCTGGCTTTGAACTCAGTCCTCCTGCCTGAGCCTCCTGAACTGCTGGGATTATAGGTGTGTGGCTCTGCAGCAGAGCACCTGCTTAGCTTGCTGGAGGTCTTTGGGTTGGGTCCCCAGCTCAGGGCCGGGAAGGAGGGGAGATGCTTTCTTTGTAGAAAATCTCTCCTTTGCAGCTCGGGTGCTTTTAAGGTCTTCTCTTTGGGTTTGGTATTCCATAGTGTCCCTATGTGTTTATTTACATGTATCCTGGTTAAGACTCAGTATGGTTCCTGAGTTGGAAGAGTCATGTCTTTCGTTAATCCTGGAAAACTTGTTTTTAAACTTATCTTTTAAAATGTTGCTCTTTTTCTGGAATTCTTTTATGCAGTGCTGAGGTGCAGTACAGGGCCTCCTGCACACTAGGCGTGCACTCTACCACTGAGCCGTACCACCGGTCCACCCTCTTAACTATTTTTTAACTGTACAATTCAGTAGTGTGAAATATATTCACGATATTGTACAACAGGTATCCAAAACCTTTTCTTCTAGCGAAACTGAACCTCTATTGAATAACAGCTCAATTTCTCCTTCCTACCAGTCCCAGGCTACTACATTCTACTTTCTATTTCTCATATAAGTAGAACCATACAGGTTTTTTAATTTTTGTAGTTGTATATGGACAGAATGCCTTTATTTTGTTGCTTTTTATGCTGTGTTAAGGATCAACCCAGTGCCTCACATGTGCTAGGCTAGCACTCTGCCACTGAGCTACAGCCCCAGTCCAGAACCATACAGTTTTGTTTTCTTGGTGACTGACTTATTTCACTTGGCACATTATCCTCAAGGTTCATCTATGTTGGAACAGAATTTTCTTTTTTTTTTCTTTCCCCTGTATGGGTGTATTGAACCCAAGAGTGCTCTACCACTGAACTATATCCCTAGCCATTTTTATATGATTTTTTATGTTGAAACAGGTGTCCTTAAATTGCTAACGCTGGCTTTGAACTTATAATCCTCCTGCCTCAGTCTCCCAAGGGATTATAGGAGTATGGTACTATGCCCAGCTAGAATTTTTTTTATTTTTAAATTTGGATAATATTCCATTCTGCAAATATGCGTTTTGTGTATCCATTCATCCAGGGGTGAACATTTGGACTTTTTCTGTCTTTTGGCTATTGTGAATTATGTTACTACAAACATGAAAATATCTCTTTGAGACCCTGCATTCAGGTATTTTGGATATATACTGAGAAGTGGAATTGCGGGATCACACAGTTGGTTTGTTTTTGTGTATGGTGTGGGGATGAACGCAGGGCCTCACCCATGCTAGGTGAGTGCTCCATCACTGAGCTTGAATTTTTTTAGGAACCAAAATACAGTTTTGCACAGTATTTTGCACCCTTTCTCCCAGATTGATTTAATGTCAGACCCTGGCATTTGGTCCTTGTCTCCTACTTCTCAGCCTGGGCACTCAGCCATGATAAGAGGTCACGCTCATCTGACAGGTGGGGAGCTGGGGTCTGCAGAGGGGAAATGACCTCTGAGACTCCTGCTCTTCTGACTCTTACAGACCTTTTACTTTGCCTCCTAAATAACTGGGGGCTGGAGTCGTCCCTGGGCTGTCTGGTGTCCAGTGGTCCACAGGGTTCTTCCCCTTTTCACCTGGACCATGGTTCCTGCCCCAACAGGTCCAGCGGGCGCTCCTCCAAGCGGAGCCTTGGAGGGCAACGCCGGCACCATTACCTCCAACGAGTGGAGCTCTCCTAACTCCCCTGAGGGGAGCAGCGTCTCTGGAGGCAGTCAGGCACTGGACAAGCCCATCGACAACGATGCAGAGGGCGTGTGGAGCCCCGACATTGAGCAGAGCTTCCAGGAAGCTCTGGCCATCTACCCACCCTGCGGTCGGCGCAAAATCATCCTGTCAGATGAGGGCAAGATGTACGGTAAGGAGCCTCCTGGGGTGGGCAGCCGGCCCCTGGACTCTTGGTCCAATCCTGGAAATAGAGCCAAAGCAGGGGGGATGGACACAATACTTTGGGGTTCCCTCTGAATGACCTCTTAGGGCTTCTACTTTCTTCTCTCCTGGGTTCCCCAAGAGTGGGGGCTTCAGAGAAGCCTGGGAGTGGTCTTGAGGGTGGGGCCCTGGAGGTGAGATGCTGTAATAGTGGAAACCTTGGGAAAGGTTTCTTTGGTTGGGTGGAACATCTTGGCAGAGAAAAAGGAAATCCTGTGAGGCATCCCCCGGGCGAATGTCGATCTCTAGGCTACCCACCTTGGTGTCAGTGGGGGACTGGGTTGAGGGCACAGCTCGGTGGTAGAGCACTTGTCCCACTCACACGAGGCCCTGGGCTCCATCCCAGCACTGCAAAGCAAGACATAACAACAACAAAAAAACCAAATCGAGTCAGGTACCAAAGTTCTGGGTGAACGTAAATTTTGGGGGGACACTATTCAATACTGTTCAGTTGACTAAATTCAAATCTAGCTTGCTTCTGGCATGGGGAATAGTCGGGCTCAGTCCCTTCACATACAACCTTCACCTATAAACTTTCTTATGAGGCCAGAATGATTCCTTCTCTCTTGCTGGTTGGGAGAGCAAGGTCCTTTGGAGTTAGACCCCAGGTCTACTCCTCAGACACTGGTTAAAACTGCTCTCTCCTTGCTTGGCAAATTGCCGGATTCCCAGAATCTCTGTTACTTCTGGGTTGCTCCCCCTACACTGCCCCTGCTCTGACCTTCTGTGCCCCAAGGGGAGTTTCCTGGAAGACCCAGCTGATGCCTATGGAGCACCTGTGGGGTGCCAGGTGTGCTTTACCTGGGGTATCTCCTGTTAGCTGGTGAGGGAGCAGCCCCTGGGACACTGGGCTCTTTGGAGAAGGGGATGACTGTTCATCATGAGCTAAGTGTGCAGGTGAGAGGCCAAGTGGTGTGCTGGGGAAGGCCAGTTGTTCAGCTGGACAGCTTCTTGGTGCCTGGTCGGAGAGCCAGGACACTTTACAGGGTCTGTCTGTGTGCTTCAGAAGGACAGATGGTCTGCTACACAAGTGTGCAGAGGGTACTCAGTGGAGGGCATGACCTGAGAGTGCTCCTGGTGCCTGGGAAGGCCCTGTGGAGGTGCCAGGGCATAATAGAACCAGTATACTAAAAATTAGTTTCAGTGCCACTGTGGTCCAGGGCCTTAAACTGCTTCCTGTCTTTGTTTTTTTTTTTTTTTTTTTTTTTGGTGGTAAAATGTGTATAATACAAAATTGACCATTTTACCTATTAGAATCTTTAAATTTACAATTTAGTGGTGTTCAGTACACTCAAACTTTTTTTTTTTTTAGTACTGAGAACTAAACCCAGGGGTGCTTAACCTCTGAGTCACACCTGCAGCCCTTTTTATATTTTTTACTTTGAGACAGGGTCTCGCTAAATTGCTGAGGGCCCTGCTAGGTTGCTGAAGCTTCCTTGGAACTTAGGATCCTCCTGCCTCATCCTCCTGAGCCACTGGGATTTCAGGTGTGCACCACCATATTGGCTAGACTTTTGGGTTTATTTCATTGTTGGTTTTGGTACCAGGGATTGAACCAGGGACACTCAACCACTGAGCCACATCAACCCTTTTTATTTTTTATTTTGAGACAGGGTCTTACTAAGTTGCTTATGGTTTTACCAAGTTGCTGAAGCTGGCTTTGAACTTATGATCTTCCTGCCTCAGCCTCTTGAACCACTGGGATTACAGGGGTGTGACACCATACTCAGCCACTCAGACTGAAAATATATAATATATGTGTGTGTGTGTGTGTGTGTGTGTGTGTGTAATATTATATTTTTTTATTTTTAGATGGACCTTTATTTTATTTATTTGTGTGCGGTGCTGAGAATCGAACCCAGTGCCTCACAATGCTAGGCAAGCGCTCTACCATGAGCTACAGCCCCAGCCCTTCACTTAGACTTTTGTTACAACCATTACCACCATCTATTGCCAGAAAATTTTCATTATGCTAAACTGAAACTCTTTCTTCCTTGAATAATAATTCCTCATTCTTGTGTCGAACCCCAGCGCCTGGCAACTACCATTCTACTTTGTATGCATTTGACTGTTCTAGGGACCTCATATAATGGACACGTGTAACGATGGTCCTTTTGTGACCGACTACTTAACACAATGTTTTCAAGGCTTACTTGTGTTATAACATGGATCATAATAATTTCCTGTGGGAATTATTTTTTTGGAGGGAGCAGTACTTGGGTTTGAACCCAAGGCCTCATGCATGCTGGGCAAGTACTTTGACACTGAGCTCTATATTTGTTTTATTTTGAGACGGGGTCTCACTGAGTTGCCCAAGTTGGCCTCAAATTTACCATCCCCCTGCCTCAGCCTCTTGAGGAGCTGAGTTATAGGCATACTACTATGCCCAGTTTCTTTCCTTTTTAAGGCCAAGATTCCTTTGTGTGTATGTATATATCATATTTTGTTTATCCATTCACCTGCCAACGCACATTTGGGTAGATGCTCAGTTCAATTTAGTTGTCATAATACTTCACATATATGTATATTGGGGTTAAGAGACTTTATCTGGAGTCGCCAGACCATTGTGCTTGCCAGGCTTGGGGGAGGGCACACTGTAGATTCCTGGCAGGCCTAGGGTTGAAATTCTCTTTGGTAAGAGCAAAACCATTGAGTAGGGAAGCGGCATGAAGATGGTGTTGGGTCAACTTTCTGGCCATGATGGTGTCCCCCTATGGGTCTGTCCTTTTTCTGTGCCGATAGACAGGAGGTCTGCAGGATGGGGACCACACAGAGGGCCTCAAAGAAGGGAGGGGAGAGTGGCCGAGAACTGGTGCCTCTTAATAAGACTCAGGAACTCCCAGTGGTCCTGGGTATCCTTTATCTCTTGGACCTCTGCTTGCAGATTCAGAAGTGGTTGCGCGGGGAAGCCAAGAGTTTCCCGAGGCCCTCTGATGGTGGACTGAGAGTAAGGCTTGCAGCCGGCGCTCCTGCCCCCCAGCTCGTGCTCCAGCCTCACCCTGAATGGCCTCTCTGCTCCCCTCCCTGCCCCGCCTCGGCTTGGCCCTGGCTCAGGTGGGTCAGGCTCTGGGCAGGGGGACCAGAGGCTGTGCACCGTGTCTGATGCCTCACCTGGCCTGTGTGAGTAGAGATACTGGCTTAGCTGCATCTCTTCTTACCAGCCCTGGGGGCCCAGCCAAGATGGAACCAGGAGAGGTAATGGAGGGCCACTCTGCAGGGCCGGCCAGTGCAGCTGGGAGGTATAGATAGCTCTGAGCTCATCCCAGTGTGTGGGCTGGGCCCCTCAGGAGGTGGAGCAGGAAAGTCACGCTGCCCAGCTGACTCAGACTTCACTCCTGGCCATTCTGCTCCCATCCTCTGATCTTCCCTCAGGGGAGTGGCTCTGTCCATCATGCGTTCCCCAGCCACATCCTGAGCCTCCAGTCAGCTACCAGCATCACCAAGAGCCCTATCTTTATACTCCTACCACTTTTTGCCTCTCCAGAGGGCTAACCCAGAGGGGCACCTGGTGGGCCTCAGGCAGGCAGGCAGGCAGGCAGGCAGGATGGCATGCTGAGAGCAGGATTGTAGACCTGGGGACCTGGCCTCAGCTCTTTGAGGACAGGGATTAGGCCTGCTCCCAGCCCAGGCCAGAGCAGCACCCACTTGCCAGGGCCAGGCAGACATGCAGATGACATGCAAAGCCACACCATGGATTAACACCTGTTATTTCTGAGCCCAGTCTCCCACGCTCGTTGGCCCTGCCCCCGCCCCGTCCTTCTTGAGCACCTCTCACCTCTCTTGGGCTTGCTCCCCGGCCTGGGGTGCCAGCCTCCCGCTCACAGCTGCCTTCATTTTTGCCCCGTCACTGTGTAACCCTCGCCCTGGCACTGCTAATGCTGGTCACTCTGACCTCCTTTGGCCAGGCTCTCTGCTGGCCCCTGTGTGTAGGGGGTGGAGAAAAGAAGAAGGCAGAGCAACTTTTTCCCCAGCTGCCTGCATTTCCCCATTGCCCTCTGTCTGCCCACAGCTTGGTGATGGCCTTGGGTGGTCACCCGCCATTTCTGGAGGGTCCGAACCAACTCTGAGTTGTTAGGGTTGCCCCCATGCCTTCATCTTCCTGGAGGTGGCTTTTGTATCCCCACTTCTTTGTCACTCTTTCTTTTTCTGCTTCTCCTCTTCTGTGTCTCAGGCTTCCTGTCCCGTTATCAGTCATTCAGTTCTTTTTTTTGTTTTTTGGTACCAATGATGGAACCCAGGAGCATTTAACCAGAGAGCCTCCTCATCCCTTTTTTAATATATTTATTTGGAAATAAAAGTCCTACTGAGTTGCTTAGTGCCTTGCTAAGTTGCTGTGGCTGGCTTTGAATTCATGATCCTCCTGTCTCAGCCTCCTGAGCTGCTGGGATTACAGGCGTGAGCCACTGTGCCAGCTGTCATTCAGTTCTTTTGAAACATCCGCCTGGAGGGGCTGAGGGCTTGGCAGTTTCTTCTCTATGATTGCAGGGTTTACTGTGAAAGACAGGAGAAATGTCTCTGGGAAGTGAACCACTCAGGCAGGCACTTAGGTGGTAGGTAACCAGGAAACTGGAGGGCTGGGTTATCTTGGTTTTCTGGAAGGAAGTGGCGCCTGAGCCGGCTGGAGAGGTGTGACAGCTCTAGGGCAAAGGGAGAGTGTATGTAACACTGGCCCCCAGGCAGGACTTTGCATAGTAGCTTTGGGGGACCCAAGTGGAGGATCTGAACAAAGCGCTATCATGACAGACTATCCCAGGGGAAGGGACCCCTAATTGCATGGATGAGACCCAGAGTAATAAGAGGCAGAACTGGAAATGGACACTGGCAGTCAGGGCTACAATCAATTTAGGGCTCTTTAAGGGGATGAGAGGGAGGTCAGGAAGCTTCACCCCTGCTTGGATTCTTGCCCTTTGCTTTGTCCCCCTGTGGGTT